GGACGGAGGACGAGCAGAGAGGACGGAGGACGAGCAGAGAGGACGGAGGACGAGCAGAGAGGACGGAGGACGAGCAGAGAGGACGGAGGACGAGCCGAATGCAGAGAAGTTCAACTTAAAACAATATATAATTTAAACTGGTGCTTTAAAAGTGATCCTGCTTTAACATCAAATATACAAACTGAATTTGTAAAGCTGAACTGTAGATCAGTTAATCAGGAAACTTATATGAAGAATTGTAAGTTTGGTTTATTTGTCACAGGACGATGTTTTTACTTATTAGCTTAAATACTTAAACTCAGCGGAGGTAAGTGATTTATCTGCATAGCTTTGTTGAAACCTGTATTTTGGTGAGGTCGGACCATGAGGTGGACGTTCATTGTATCAGGGTGATGTCGGAGTTGCAGGATGTGAATCTGCAGTGCGGCTCTGCTCACCCTGATGGAGCAGCTGATGAGGCCGTCTCTGTTGTGGACTTTGAGAACTCTTTCAAACAGCTGGTTACGGGCCACTTCGTCCGTCGCCATCTGACCCTCCAGCAGGTCAACGGGCTCCGAGACGCCCCCAGTGAAGTCCACCAGTGCGTCGGCTGTGTTTCCCCCGTCCAAAGCCTCGTAGCACCCGTAAACCCTGCAGGAAGAGGCCGAGATATTTGAGATACATTCATAAGAGATAAAATAAAGTTAAATTACTAATAACTTAAGCAAAGTGGATGAATATTTGCAGCATCTCCAGTGTGAAGATTTCCTGTTTTATATCACAATCAACTGAATATCTTTTGGTTTTGGACCAAACAGGACATTGGAAGACATCACTTTAGGTTTGATAAAGGATTTCTAGACATTTAATAGAAAAAAAACTTGTTAGTCGTTGCCCTAAAAGCACATCAACATATTTTCTGAACCCTTGAACACACAGCTCTACTCATTAGCTTTGAATAGTGTCATTGGATTTATAACGCTCGGATATAGCGTCTCTAAAAGTCATGTGGCAGAAAAATGTCCAAAAGTGCATCTGTATATCTGTTGGCACTGGGACTAACTTGGCATAGGCCTTCTCCACCAGGGCGCTCCAGAACTCATTGCTGTCGTTGGAGTGGCAGTAGACCAGCTGGTTATCCACCGTCGGTAGCCGGTCGTCAATCACCACATCCACCCACTCGCCAAAGCGCCAGAAGCGGAAGTGGAAAATCCCGGCATATGATTCTGGCTTCTCTGTGTCCCACTCCTGCTCCTTCCAGTCTGGGATGACCTGCAGAGGGAGCAGCAAGGGGAGGAAGAGGAGGAAGAGGAGCAGAGGGCAGGTGAGCCAAACAAACACCGGTTGGTCCACGGAGCACGAATAACGTCAAGGTGGAGTCGGCCGTCACAGGGACACTGCAGACCCTTTCGCCCGCTGATGCATTTAGGACCAGGGGACAAATTTATCACCTTGGCCCTCTTGCTCATAAATCCTGCTGTAATAGGACGTGGGTGAGAGGTAATAACTGTTCGACTGCAGTGTGTGTGTGTGTGTGTGTGTGTGTGTGTGTTTCAGCTGCAGCTTTTGTTGTCGTCCAGTGAAACCGCTACAACACAGCCTCCATTTTGAGAGCTGCACTCGTCTTTTATCAAGAGGCAAAAAGACAAATTCAAGTTAAGCCTCAAACCAAGGAATGAAAATGAAAAACAGAGCGATACACGACCTCCAGTCAAATACAGAAATAACAGAAGAAAACATCCGTGGCAATTTAAAATACGTTTATTTACTTTTATTATTACTCAGTAGATTTACGGTTGAATCAAAAACTTTATTAAAATGACTATACATAATAAATATTTTACGTTTTTAATGAATGTTTATTATTTACTCTGCAAAATAAGTTCATACTAACTATTGTGTCAACAAATCAGCCGAACTCATTGGCCAGCGACACGTTATTTGGGCTCTGATTATCAGTCTACGATATGAACTGCTTTTTAAATGCATATGAAATCAATACATAAAGAGTGCACAGAATTATATCCTTCGCAGCCACAACACAACGAGTACTTCCTGCACCGTGTCCTGTTGTGATTGCCTTTCAATCCCTTGAGCCCGCTGTGACTCAGTGTTCACCCAGAGCACCTCACCTAGAGCCTCCCTCTGAAAGGGCACCCATGAATCCTCTGTGGCGTGCGGTAAAAACTGCAAATGATGCAGTGAGCGACACCACACGTGAACTGACTGACACCGTTGCAGCGGGCGTCCTTGGAGATGTCGAGGTGCTCAAACTGACCAGGGGCTCCGTCAACCGTCCCTGCAGGAGGTGACACTCAGCTGACGGAGAGAATACGGCTTCTGTACAGACTCCGACTATGAGGCAGCAACGGCCTCTTCGTCAGGAAGTGTAGGAGGAAGAGAATAAGCATTCCTATGAGAGGAGATATTTATTGCACTCCATCCTGCTGCTGATTACTCCCTGACTCCACAGTGTGGAGAGAAAGGGAGAGAGGGAGAGAGACTCTATCTCAGTTTTCATCTGGAATCATTGTCGCTAGGCAGCAACTAAACTCTGGTTGGCAAGTGAACTGATGAATGTCCAGAAACACAAGCAGCCACCTGAGCTTCTCCTGCTTTCTGTCGATGTTTATGCCAAGTACACAAATACGTCTCCTAACCCCCCCCCCCCACGGGACCTCCTTACTTTTACAAAACAGTTTTGAGGTTCTCATAAACAGTATCACCCATACAAGCCTCTAGGACGTAAGTGATCAGCACTACAGAGGTACTAGTCACGAGTAACGTCCGGTACTAGAGTCAAGAATCTGTAACTAAGCAAACATGTGAGTCAAACAAATGTGTGACAAACAGCATGAAGCACAGTTCCCTGAAGGAAAACCTTGTGCTGTGGTTGCAAATGTCATTAGACCTAGTTGCTTAGCACGTCTGTTCATTCCTTCTCCGCCTCCCCCCCCCTCTTCTATCAACGTTTCACACACATGCACACATGCAGACTGTGCGAGCCCGCAGGCAGGAGCAGAGAGGGAGCTACTGGACAGAGAGACAGTGAAGACGCTTTCGTTTGGACGTAGCTGTCGATTTAACCCAGCCCCAGTCTCCCAGTCATCGACCTCTCAGGCCGCCGAGCTGTGCCGTCCAGACATGTCCACAGAGTTGGAGCTGCCCTTCCGGCCGGACACCCAGCTGACCGAGGTGATGCGCCTGCGGGCTCAGTCTCTGCAGCAGCGAGGCCAGAAGAGGCAGGATGGCGAGCGGCTGCTGCGGCCCAACGAGGCCGTGTACCGACTGGACTTCACCAAACAGTCGCTTGGATTTTCACATTGGACGGTGCGGCTGGCTCAGGCGGGACACCTCACCATCACGGCCACCTCGCAGCTCTGGATGCCTGACCTCACCCACCTGATGACACGTCAGCTGCTGGAGCCTGCTGGGGTTTTCTGGAGGTCAGCGGGGGATGCCAGCGATGCGCCCCTCCAGTGCTACGAGGCCGATACTCACGAGTTTGGTGAGAGAGTTGCAGAACTTGCCAAGGTAAGGAAAGTGATGTACTTCCTGTTTGCATTCGAAGAAGGCTGCAGCCCAGAGACCATCGACTGCTCCATCGTCTTCACAGTGAACAATTAAAAGTTGGAAAACAAAAACCTGGACAAACACTTGCAACAGACTCTTCTCCTGTAGTTTGTGCTTGTGAACTTTTAGTTGACTTTTAGGTTAAACCTCTGCTTTTGTAAGGATGACTCAATGTGACATCTCAAATCCAAGAACGTTTCTTATTTCTTTTGCATTTAAAAAGATTGAACCTGCTTCTGTTAGCTTTGTGCTGAACCTACTGATCACACCAGGAGTTCCTTTATACCTTTGTGGTCTTTGATATTCAGCGTGAATCGTAATAAATCTAATAAAACAAACCTGTGTGTTAACTGTGATCCTTCCCTCTCCTCCTGTTTGAGCCCTGACGGGTTTGGTGGAGATGAGTCCCACGTGAGATAATGGATAGAGACAGCGAGTATTTGTTTGTATGTATGTGAGCATCTCCCGGCGGACGGCTGAACAGGTTCATGCTGCCTCATCCATCTCCGTCTTGCACGGTGACCCTGACAAACAAGAGAGGGGGAGGCATGTGGATTTCATCCCTCAGCCCCCCCCCCTCCCATCGCCAAAGGGGATAAAACGGCAACTGTAAATGAGACAAGACGCTTGTCCGAAGAAAAGTGAGAGAAAAGAAAACAACCGGGACGTCGGGAGGTATTAGACTCGTTTTTGTTTGTTTCGTAACTAACTTGCCACCTGAACCGACAAATCTGTAGAGGCCGAATACCGTCTAACACGGCACATTCTCAGGAGTCTCAATTAAATTGATTTTGCCGACAGCCTTGAAAACATGAATATAAATCATTACAGAGTGTCCTCATTGCTGTGTGTCCTTTTTGCTTTTTCACCTTTTGACCACGAGTTAAACAAATGAGCAGGTTTGAGGGAAATCACCCCCCCCCCCGATTGAATTATTAAGTGATAACAAATAAAGACCTGAACTGTGCTGAGAGATGAAAAGGATCTAACACGTCCAAAATGAGAAGAAACAACAGATCTAGAGCAAAATGAAAGGCACTCTGGTTTGGCAGGTAATTATCATGTACAAAATACTAACTAATAATGTTTTGAAGGACCAGCTCTCAGATTCACTGGGGACGAGTCTCCGTCCCCGTGAGATTTGGACCATTATTTGTAAAGGAAGTAAATCCAACAGGAGAATGAACAAAAGAACGACTGTACACACAAAGGCTGTTTGAACTGATCTGATTTACAAAAGACACAGAAGCTGAGGACAAATAGCTTGAAGTAGTGAGGTTACTTAGTGCTACACAGCTTCTGGAGCTTTCAACAAGTTAAATTTAAAACCTCTTCAAACCGTAATGAATGAAATATAAGCGATGAATAAACGATTATTTAATAGTTTTATTACAGTAATATCTGTAGAGAAAGAACTAAACCACAGAGACAGGTGGTAAAGATCTTCATAATGTCTTTTAGATCTTAAATTACATGATAAATTTAGCCAGTAAGCTAATGACGAGCTATAAATCATCAAAAACACGGAGATAACTGGCACAGATGGACTTAGAGATGCTTTGGCTTTGAGCTGAAATATTTAATCTGGTGTATCCCCATAAAACTTGCGACTGTGAGACATGAGATGCCACATACTTACGTCCATGTGTTCACACACACTGTCTGAGCAGTCTGCCACAATCCGGTGTCTCGTTACAAAAGGCTGAAGCATCTTGTTTCAAATCCCAATAAACCTCCATAATCGCTTTGTTTCCTCCGTCGAGCTGAATGTCGGAATAATCCTGACACTCAGAACTCCAGAGCTCCCCACACTTGTAGCTTTGAGAACAGGTGAGTGCATCAGATCTACACGACAACACTCAGACTTCAAAAAAACAGAAGTGGACGACAGACAAACACACACACTTACTTTTTGCCACAGTGACTCTCTGGACGCCAGACTGGAGCACGCCGCTACGAACCAGCAGTTACCCAGCTGCCCCTGATGGAGGTCGTGTGCACTGATGCCATCGACAAACAGATGAGGGTCCTCACACAGCTCCTGCAGACACACAAGGAAAACACGAGGTTTAAAGTCCAGCTGAGGCAAGTTTCCCATAAGTTCAATCATTGTGTGAAAATAAGGGGAAATTAAAAGACCTGAATTATGTCTGTGATTAACAAACTATATGTACGTATTCAGGATGCTAACAAGGCAAATTCATGAATCAGAAAGACACCATCTGTCCCTACGCACCCACGTATCATATTCATGATCTTTAACCCAAGTGTGGGAGGGCCACAGGAAATCTGTGAAATCAGATTTCCTGTGGCTGCTGAGCCGAGGTCCATTTTCTGCCAGTGTGCAGCACAAATCTCCTCTACAGCAAACAACATGGAGCTGCGCAAGCTGCTCGTCTTTTCTCTCCTCCATGTGCACCTGCCTCACACACCCTCTCCATCGTCCATCGCAGGACACACACACACACACACACACACACACACACACACACACACACACACACACACACACACACACACAATCAGACTTCCTGTGGTTCCTGAGATAATGTGCACGATGATTACTACAGGCTGTGGGCTGATACAGGCCACTTACAGAGAGACACACTGTCCTCCACTCTTTTGTCTAAAACACAATGGCAACAGGACTCAGCAGAAATGTGAATGCACAAAAAAAAAATAATAATAACAATGTGGCACCACACGTGTTCAGATTCTTATCAATCGTGCTACTTCTCACTTTATAACGTCAGGAAAACATTGTCCTCAGGAGTTTTTGTCTCAGTCTCTAGTTTCAAATCTTCTTCAAACAGCCGATGGATTGGGGGGGGTGGATACCACAGTGTGATTGACAGCTTATACCGTCCAGTGGGGGCAGGTCACAGGTGTAAGGGGGTGTGCAGTGACCTCGCCACCCTCCTCCAAATATGGCGTTGGACAAAATGCCAAACTCGCCGCTTCAAAACGACACGGTGGGTTGACACTCGGACATTGTGAAAAGCGTTCTTGCATCTCATCCATCATTTCAGCAGCCGGTGAGTATCTGATTTTTATTTTTAAAGTTAACACCGGCCCAGCTTGATCGTTACTGCAGCCTGCAGAGCTCTGCTGGTAGCGGTCTGGGTGTAAACAGTCTGCTCGCTGCTTTATGGGTCCGGCGGGTCGATGGGCACCTCGGCCATTACTCAACAGGCAGCGGAAACCCCAGCACCACTTAACAGCTCTTCATCGTTACACACTTGCAGCTCTCAACTAGGGTTAGAAAAGTAAAAGAGGGAGAGAGATGATGCATGTTTTCATGTAATATACACACAGCGTAACGTAACGTCCGCGCTGGGACGACACAAGTAGCACCGACTGGAAACTCGGGATCAGTTTGTTGGGCAAAGCTTGTGATAATTTTTTTTGTATTATTTATTTTTATATTTGTAAAAAGACAATTTCAATTTTTTGATGTTATCTTATGTTCTCCCATTTTTACGATCACTCAACACACTTTACGTTACAGCTCACATTCACAGAAACGCTTCTCTATCAGTCATCCATTCATTCACAAAACCATCAGGGACAATTTGTGGTTCAGTGTCTTGCCCAAGGGCACGTGGACTGAAGGAGTCAGGATTGAATGCAGGCTTTCTGAGTATTCATTGCTTTACTTCCTGATTCTCAGGATCTTGTGGAAGAAAAGTGAATATTTGTAAATTGAGACGGATTTTACTACATGAAAATACACAGATGGTGGAGCGGCAGCATCGGACCGATGATTGGAAACCCACTGAAGCTTTTCTACCTCTGCTCCCAGAGTGAAGATACCATCCACAAGTGTGAGCATGTGTTAGCCTGTGTGTGTTTGCCCTGCGACAACCTGGTGAATCCTCCAGTGAGAGTTACAACTGGCTCAAGCTCGTCATGCTTAAATTAAAAAAACATCAGCTTTGCTACTCGTCTACAAACGCACGTGTGTGTACTTATATCCAGATCATAGCATAAATACACACGTTGGTGTGAACCAAACGCTTGCACGTCCCCACACACACTCAGGACACGACCAAGGCCAGTGACTTGCTGACTCTGCAAAGCTGATTGCTGCAAAAGCAAAGTTGTAATCAGAAGCAGAGGCCACTGCAGTGGCTCCCTGGAGGCCTGCAGTCTTTCCCAGCATCCCCTCTCCCCTTACACAGACCGGCACTGAAGTGCTGCCCGCCGGTGAGTCTGCGGGACAGTATGAAGCTAGGTATGGATGTTGTTTTGTGGAACTATGTCTGATCGGTGCCGGAGTTAAGATCTCTAATCACGTTTCCCCCCCCCACCCCTCTTTCCGCAACAGCATCGATTGTCAGAGTCTGAGCAGCAGCGAGGGCTCCCTGTGGTGGCCCGCCATCTAGGGATTGGCTCGGGTGGAAGAGTAATAGAGTATCGATCCCTCTCCGGCCCTGCAGACACTGGAGTAATGTGAATATTGTGGCTGAGCACCGTCTAATCATTTACCCTGTGACTGAGAACCTTTTCAACCAGCTTCTTAGCGTTTCTCAGCACCATCCATCAGCCTGCGAGAGGAACCATCAGCCACTCGAACGAGCAAACCAGCCACGAGAACAAAGTAACACACAGAGGATGTCAAATATGTAAACTTTGTTTAATGTGCTATATGAAAGCAGAGTCAAAAAGCGTTAAAATAACCACCTGAGACAGCTGAGTTTAACAAATGCGGTGAATCTATTCCCCCAAAACAAAAAGCATTTGCAAAACAGTCCCTCCATCAAGCTGCGGACACTGAGGTAGCAAAGACTTGAGAGACTGTGCTATCAGTGTCAGGGTGAAGGTTCACAGGCTTAACCCCGCCTCCACCCCTCCTCTCCTGTGTGTTATCCTTGCTCAGATGCATCTCGGCGATTTATGGCTGCAGTGAAGTCCCAGTGGCAGAGCGTGCGAGCATAAAGAGCAGGCTCTAATAAAATGTTCCTCCTCGCTGCCTGTCTCACATTGTCTCTCAGCCGGTCTGTCTTTCTCCCGCTGCCCTTCTCCTCTACCCCTGCTTCATCTCCTCCTCTCATTCAGTTATTTATGTCCTGACTCGGCGAGGGTGGGGCGATGCAGCAATACAGACGACAGGTCATACATGTCAGTTTCCACTTACTACTGTCAAATCTAGTGTAGAAAATTGATTTAATGCAACAAGCTCCTACTTCTTTGTTTACAAATCCACAGAACTAACAAAGGAGAAAACAATCATTATCCATTATCTATACTGCTTCTTCTTTGAGGGTCGCAGGAGGGCGGGAGCCAATCCAAGTTGACCTTGGACGAGAGGGGCGGTACATCCTGGACAGATCGACAAAACGTCACAGATGTATGTTCATAAAATGTCCGACAAAGAACAGCTTGGTCTGGAAAAACACGGGTAGCTGGTCAGCTGTTATTTCCTTCCACCATTTGTAATTGTCACTCGTACATATTCCGATTATTAATGGCTGTTTGCTGCGCATTCTGTCGCCGCAGCTCTCCCAGCAGAGCGTAAATACAGAGGAGCAACCAAGAGATGGAGGTGAAGACGACAACAGGATAACAACTGCTGGTCAGAAGCTACTGTTCTGGACGAGTACGGAGCATATTTACTTTCCTTTCTATGCGTACAGGAGATGTTTCTGCAGAGCATGACGCAGGATGACGAGCAGTGACCCCAACTTCTCTTCAGGAGCATTTTAACTCATTACATTTGTCTTTATTTGCAGACAGTTCACGGTAACGTAAGATTTAAGAAAGTGCTTCTCACAACATCCTGGACAAAATGATGCAGGAAAAAGTATTGAGTAAAAATAAAAACCTGCCCGGACTTCCCCACGCACGCAATAATTCTCATTCAAAAAGTGCCTCCTCCTACTTCTTCCTCCTTCCTGACTTCTTCCAGTTTTCAGTCTGCATGACTGACATCAGCACAGGCCAGAACGTATAATCTGTGTGACCCAGTTTCCATGGCAATGCACGCTGGCTGTCGCTGCAGCGGCACACAGGCAGAAGGAGGTTACTCCATCCAGAACCACAGCCTGCTGTGTGGGGGGATAACAGAGGCAGGGGAGTCAGCCCTCTAAATCCTGAGGCCCTGCATCTGACATCATGTGCCAACGAAACATACATATACAGTGTCGGCTTATACGAGGGACGAGGAGTGTAGCAGCGATTAATGAGCACTGACATAATGCCATGTGGTAAATTATGAATGATAAGTCAAACTGTTATCCTGCAGGGACCTCGGCACCCAGAGCTCCCTGATGGGAATGTTTCAATGTAAACAACACGTGACGGACATCTACAGGAGGTTTGACGGAATTCTAAATGACACGGTTACCTGACATATCAGCCAAACACTGAGGTTTTCTTTATGCACCGAAAGGTCCAGTTAGCAGGGATGGTTTCCTCCCTCTACTTTAGGACTGGAGCACCAGAGGTTAGAGGAGCTTACTAGTACTCCATGTACATGTAACATGTCCGTTTCTTACTTCAATTCAGTTTTATTTGTATAGCGCCAAATCATAATATACAATATCTCAAGGCGCTTTACAGAGAAGGTCAAGACCTGAAAGTCTTATTTAATATGGAGAAACCAACAGTTCAACAATGAGAAGCACTTTGAAGACTGAAAAACTCCCTCGTTAACAGAGAGAAACCTCCAGAACCAGACTCAGTGTGTAGACTGGACACATCTGCATCGACCGGTGGGGGAGCAGAGAAACATGGGGAGGAGAGGGGAGAGAAGAGAGAGAGCTAGTGGGGAGGTGGAGGAGGGGGAGAGAGAGAGGCGAGAGAGACTTGTGCACCATCAGGTATCAGATCTGATGAGTTCAAATGAAAACAATAACAGTGTAAAGAACTTGTTGATTATTCATGATAACAGCAACAATTCATATAATGAATTACTACTAAGTATTGTTGTTAATTATAATAATAGTTGTTCTCCTGCTGTTCTGGAGTCAGATTTACCTGCAATGAGTGAGAGAGAGAGAGAGAGAGAGAGAGAGAGAGACAGAGAGAGAGAAAGAGAGAGAGAGAGAGAGAGAGAGAGAGAGAGAGAGACTATGGGAGGAAAAGAAACATAGTTATTGACATGTATTAAAATAAATAAATGAGTGTGGGGGGGGCAGAGAGACAGAGGGAAGTGGAGAAGTGCTCAGTGCATGATGGGAGTTCCCCCTCAGTGCATGATGGGAGTTCCCCCAGTGGTCTAGACCTATAGCAGCATAACTAAGGGATGGTTCAGGACTCACTTCATCCAGAACTACAGGCTTTATCAAAAAGTAAAATGTTGTTGTTGACATCAGAACCTTCAGAACACAATTCTAACAAGTTCATCCACGACTCTGGGTTTAATGTTTTCTCATGGGCCAAACTCAATTAAAAGTTTATTTGACCAAACAAAACAGTATTTTTTTGTGCGGTGATGTTTTAAGAGAGAGGTTTTAAAGGGAGCTTGTGATCTCTACTCAGTTTAACTTTAAATGTGAAACATGTTTACATTGTTAGTGTTGAAATGCAACTTGTTACTGAAGACAGTGTCCATGCAGTGCAGAGTCAGACCTGCCTGCAGAGCTCAGAGACCTCAGACAGGCTACAGAACATTCTGCTGCATTGAAGATACCAAAGAGCCACAGCGGCCTCCTCAATGCTTGAGGAAGACGTGTGGTACAACCAGGACTCTTTCTGCAGCGGTGTCAACGTGCAGAATCTCTCTCGAGGGCCTCGTAAGAGAGACAATCAAGAGCCTGATGGTCCCTGTGGCTGAGCTCCAGAGATCCTGTGTGGAGATGGTGGAAACCACCAGAAGGACAACCATCACTGCAGCACTCCACCGATCTGGACTTTATGGGAGATGGCCAGACGACAGCTTCTCCTCGGTGAAAGACATTTTAAAGCAACTAGAGGACGGTGGTCTGATGAAACCAAGATGGATGCCTCAAATCTAGGCAGCGTGTGAGAGCGGAAACTTCTTCAAGAAACAAAGTCCAGTTTCCCTCGTACACTTGTACAACTTCTGAAGATACCTGGACGACTGAGAATCTTCACAGACGTACAGTGGTTATTTTTTTGTAATCTTACTTCCTGTATATGTCCACACACGGTGCTTTATTGTCTATTTGAACATACATGGGACAATAATTCACAAAATGAACATCATGCTGAATTGAAGACTTGAAACTAGTGATTGAGATGATAAACTCTTGTCTACTGACGCTGTAACTGATCAAGTGCGACACTATCTGCTCTTGTTGATGTTTTGTTCAACACACTTCGAAAACACAAAACCTGATACCTACAAACATTACGGCCGTTAACAAACCTCCATGCTGGTTTGTCAGAGTCCGACAATAGTCACCAGGCTCTATCAGACCAGCTGAGATGTTTGTACGGGGACAACCCAACTTACCCGAGGTCTCTTCCACACCACGCGTCCAATCCTGTTGCCCTGGTGAAAGAGCGAGTCGTCGATGGTGGGGAAGCGGGGGTCCTCGAAGAGCAGGCCACTCTGCAAGCACTGCCTCTTCAGGGTGGAGTACTGCTGCCCCTCGAAGGCCTTCACTGAAGTGAACATCCTGCAGCCCTGAACCACACAACAGGGACGACAAAGACACAACAACCAGTCAGACCACAGCTGAACAACGAAAGTCACCCACACGCACAGATCACATCATATCATCACTTTCACTGTGTTCCATCACAAAAAATAAATTGTTTCTACCCAAAAAGTAGCTTCTCCCTCATTTTTAAAACCAATTTACCTTCCGACACCAACGCTCCTCCACTCACACACACACACACACAAACAGCCGACTGACAGCAGAGCCCAGCAGACTTTAATACCTTAACAGTAAAAGCTCTCAGTGGAAATAGAAAGTCAATGTGCGCTGCTGCCTTGAGCAAAGCCTCGATTCACTGGGTCAAAATGATCAATCTGTCAATTCACCGACATCCTCCAGGGCCTAATTATCACTGCCATGCACTGAAGGAGCCGAGCACATATTGGTCAGCTCAAGACCAGCGGGGCGGAGTGTCAGAGCGGAGGCAAACTAAGATGGAGGTGAAGGGATGATCAATAACGAGATGTTGGACAGAGGACAAACACGATTCATCAAACACGATTAGTCTTTGTTGACTTAGAAATATCTGGACTACACTGGGACCATTGTCAAGGAGGTGATGGTTTCTACCTCTGGTTTTCAGGATGAGGCAAAATCTAGTGAATGGATTTCTACAAAAATTAGTGCGAAGAAAGAACCTACTGATCCAGACAAAAGTTAGGATCCACATATTATTCATCACTTTCACTGCAAGATCCCGATAAAGGTAAGATTTTAGAGAGGGTTGGATTTTTTTCTGCCGCCACATCATTATATGATTCATTGGATTTTACATTTTCTTTGCAGTGGCTGAATTCCGCGGACACAGCGGTGTGTGTTTCAGGACTCTTGTTCATCAAAGCCTGACCCGATCTGAACCCGACACTGAACACGAACGTGACCAGAGGTAGAACAGGCTGGGTGGTTCCTGGGTTAAATGTCTCAGTCAGAACTAGAATACATCATAAAGAACTCTGGATACAGTTTCCCTGACTTGAATGAATAATCATAGATGAAAATGGAGGTCGAGGTGCACAGTGCCAATCAGTACAGGCCAGCTGTCCTCGAGGTTCATTTGGATTTGTGACTGAACTTCATAATTTAGAGGTTAAGAGGCTAAAAACCTTTTCTATATCAACATGAGCGTGGCCACTGTAGGTTTCCGAGAAATCTCAAGTCAAAACCGATAAATTGAGACTGAATCCAGGAAGTTAACATTTCAGTTAAAACCTGTTAAAACAAATAATCTCACTGAAAGATTTGTCGTATTTCACTTTAAACATCTGCTAAAATGATGATGTAAACTTAAAAAACGCTCATATAATTATCATTATAATCTTGTGAATTCTTTCTCTATGATTTTTTTTAGCAAAAATACAAAAATACTACAAAATATTACAGCTGCTCAGGAGGGAATATTTCTTGTTTAGCTGAAAACCTCTGAATTAAAACTGTTGGTCAGAAAAACTAAGAAACAGCACAACGTCAACTTGAGGACAGTATTCCTCACACTCTGTCTGAGACGACATGATTACAGATTAATCAAGAAAATAATATGCAGATTAATTATTCATCATTATATATAGAGAGATTTTTAATTAGAAATAAGTCACAAAACCAAATGAGGTGTAAAAACATGCAATAGTGTAAAACACGTACAGTCAGTGCACGTCACACATGGTAGAAGTGTGAAATCTAAATTTATCTTCCCGCCTGCACTCTGCAGTACAGAGAAGTAATAAAACCAAATCCAGCTTAAGTCTCTTAATGCCACATTATTACCCAGCAGCACTATCAACTAAAGTTATTTTTAATTGGGGTGAGTTGACCTGTTCACCTTCTAGCAGTGCTCAATGACATCCAGTGTCTGGGGAAGATGAAGTGAACAGAAAATGGAGGGACGCCAAATCAAAGGGAAAAATAGGAGCGATGTGAAATATGACGACTGCACCTTTCAAACAGAATTAACCTGACGGCGTCAACAACTGACTCTCACTGACGTGTAGGAGAATCCAACACTTGTGGCAGATCTATGGTGAAAACTGAGCAGGTATCTGTGTTTGGGAAAGCATCATATAACTCTAGACATCTCTGGTCACAGGTAAATTCAAACGTCTGCTTCACTGAAGCCCTGAAAACATCCACTAACGTTTATAAGCAGACTTCTCTATGATAAAACCTCTCAGGAAGGTCCTCGGCTGTACGTCACAAATAAGACCTGGTCTGTGTTGTTCTCATTAACTCGGGTCTGCACAGTCTCTGAGCTTGATTAAAGAAAACATCCAGGCGCTTCAATTCAGAGGAATTAACAAGCTAGCTGACTCTTGAGTGAGCGATAAGTAAATTCCTGGGGGAACGAGGAGGTCGCAGTTGGAAGCCAAATCTGACAGATGGCCTGGTGTCTTGGCTCGTGACTGCATTGGGGAAAACCGTGCTCTCATCTGGCCTCTGCAGACGGCCAACGGCATCACCTGCAGAGAGCGAATCGTGAGGAGACGCTGAGCTGGATGCCTTTACTACTGTGGTAAACACACCGAGGAGCACGTAACGATAAACTGTCAGTAAACACTGTATTCACCGAATCACAGGAGCAAGACCGAGACAAACCTTGTTCATATGCACAGATTACATCCCAGGCTGCACGTCTTTGGCCTGGAGCAGAACATGCACACTCAAGACTTCATCTCCATTAAGCTGAGACACTGATGATTCTAAAGTTAATATAGTGAGCATACTAACAAACGGTTCCCCAGTTCCTCATGTAACAGCTTCAGAGAAACATTCACATTCATTTGGAGTTCGTCCATCGGACAAATCCAAGTAATTAGATTTATTTTGACCCGATTAATATTAATCACGTACACGTCGTACAAATTGCGAGAGACGCACGTTAGTGAGAGTTATTCATGCCTGACGTTGCTGCTCTCAGTGAGAAACAAAAAGGCTTGAGAACAAGTTTGATGACCTTCCTCAAGTGGGCATCGTAAAAAGTGAAGGTTCAACACATTCACTAACGTATTAAAGGGCACAGATGCTTTAGTGGGTAAAAAAAAAACAAAAAACCCAACATGCTGCTGAACTGCAGACAGATGTTTGGGGAGACGTGATCTGTGATGATATAAGACTTCAGCTCGTCTGCAAGTGGGGAAACAAAACAGATGGAGAATATTTAATGGATCAGAGTGGAAATTCAATAAAAAGTGGCAGGAAAAACTCTGGAGACAGGAAGGACACGGTCCTGAGAACAGGTCCACTCTGAACTTTGACTTATCTCAGCTAATGGACAACAAAAGTATGGATGTCTGCCTCAATAAGACATTCAGCATATATAATGATGATAGTGGAATTATTTTAAGACCTTAAAAAGTTCGACTGATCGATGAAATATTGGTGTGGTGATGAAAGCTTTTATTTTACAAACACAGAAAAGAAGTGAATTTATTTCTACATATTAAATATTTGAATAGTTACAGCTCTATATATTTGGTATTTGTGTTTTGTTTTTTGAAACGTAATAGAAGGATGGGTTGTGGATCAGTGAAGAACATTCTGGTGTGAATCCAGATCCGGGGGAAGGACATTTTCAACATGGAGAATAACGAATGATCCGACATGTTCAGCAGACGGATATAGATGAGTGAGTGTGATGGTTGGTGTGGATTCAAATAAAGATCAGGATGCAGTGAAGTTAAATGTGGTTTCATAAGATTGTTTAAAATGTCTGTATTCACCATTATATCCTGATCCCTTTTAGAAATGTTTTACACTCTAAGATTTTTATCTGCTCCCGAAATCCCACAGTGGTTGGGCTCTAATAATTCTAGACTCTAACTGATGATGACCGATTTTGTGTGAACGAGTGAAACGTGAGAAATGATACGTTGCCGGGGAGAAACGTGCAGAGAAGGAAAACCTCTGCTCGGGAACGAAGATGACTGACAGACGATTCCGCCCCCAAAACAACAGAGTCATGATTCAGAAATGACGGGTCCTGCAGCGGAGAGAGGTGAGAGGCTGGAGGGAAAATCCAATCAGTCAATGCTCGATACACAGAGGAGCGAGCAGAAGGAAACAAAGCGCCCCGTCCAACAGATGGGAACACTGTGGACATAATGCTGCAGCGTCTAATGCAGTGTCATTAGCTGCACTGTTGATCTACACTGACAAATCGCTGTTAAAGTTTATTTCTGAGAACACGCTCCTCTGATTTTACTGAACGGTATTAGAGGCTCGTCATCTCGAAGACCTTTTTGCGGCGAGGTCAGAGGGGTCGGTCTACGTTCTCGGCTGAAACGGAACGACACACGAGCGACGGTCCAGACTGCAAATCGCCCCCTGCTTCTTCATTCTGCTCTGCCAGCCTCAGTGAGCAGGAGTAACTGCTGGTCAGCAGATGTCAACATTCATCTCGTTCAGCTGCTGTAGCGTGGCGCTGTGCAGTGTACTGGCAAAGGTAGCACAGAGTTTCACTGAGGGCACAGAGGAGGGTACTGCTGAGATGGTGTGGGACAAACAAGCACACTTATTCAAGAGCGAAAACAAACCAGTGCAGGGGTGACGTGATATCATCAGCACATGCAGAGACTCACACTTCAGAAACAAGAAGCTAATGTGAAGTTTATCACGACTGACGGTTCTGAGGAGACTCAAAATAAACCAGCACGTATTTTAAAATGTTATTTCAAAGTATTGTAGTGATGATGAAAACTGCTGCAGCCGAACTGTAACCAACTCTCACACAGGAGGCTTCAACACACACGCTCACTTTGAACGTGGTGACGTCACGTGTTGCCCAAGTGCATTGTGGTTCTTGTTGCTGCGCTCTGCTTGCAGTAGAAGCACAATCCAATCGAATTGCGTCAGCGCAGATGCAAGCTTATCAAATCACACGGATTCAAATACAGGTCTGACATCACGATGAGCCTGGAGACAGGAGGCATCTGGTGAACCTGAGCTTATCTGATTGTTTGGTTTT